TCGTCGGCATCAGGACCCCATACAGTCGTCATCGCCCCAAACAGTAGTGAGGCAGTACGATTCGCGTCCCTGCCTTGATGAACGTGCCCTCGTAGAGACGCACATCCCTCGTAGCGGAGCGTCCAGACACAGCAACAACGGGGAAGAGTCTTAGTGTCTCTCGGACAACAGCTTCTAGGTAGACGAGCTGCTGAATGTCCTCCAGTTTTGGAGAGTGAATTTTGCCACTCGCGAGGTCTGGAAGTTTGTCTTTGATCTCTTGTCGGACGTGCTTCAACACCTTGGAGTATCTATTCAGCATCAAGATAACCCACGCCATGGTCGTCGCCGTCGTCTCCCGTCCAGCTGCTAGGAAGCTGATGACGAAGTCGCGCATCAACTTATGGTCCTTCTTCGTGTGCACACCCTTGGTGTACTCAACCTCAGACTTCTCAATAAACAACGTGATGAGGTCTTTTCGAGCGGTTTCTTTCGCCCCCTGTCGATTCTTCTCCTCAATCGAGCGAGAGATCACCCCGTACACCAGATCGTCCACTGCCTTGACGTCTTCAGCCAGTTGCTTCTCGGCGCCAACGTTAAGCCAGCGCAGTAGCTTCCAAGTCCACATTGGCTGCTGGATCCGCTTCAGCAACTGCGCAGACATTCGCCCGAATGAATCGAGCAGCTCTGCGTTCTGGTTCGACCCGACGCCATGGAGATCCACATCAAACCCGACCTTGGCAAAGATGTCCATAGTGTACAAGTCCAAGAGCCGCTTGATGTTCACAACTCTCTCACTTTCCTTTTCCTGAAGACAAATCCCGTCAAGTCGCTTCACCAATTGTTCGCCCTTTTCAGGCACAACAACTTCCATTGCGTACTGCATCATTTGCGCGGTGAACAAGTGGCTCGCAGTCTTGCGTTGGTGCTGCCATAGTGGCCCACTGACAGCAAAGATCCCTTGACCCAGCACGTCGTACAAGGCTTCCGAGACAAGCGGGCTCTTGTCAAACGCGTCGAACTGCGTCTTCTGAATATCCTCGAACGCTTCAGGACAGCAGAGTACGATCGCCGGGTATTTCCCCACGACCCGTAGACTCCATGGCTTGCCCTCATACTTGCGGCAGTACTTAAGAGCCCAGTCGATAAAATTCCCCGATCTCTGCGCCTTGATAATCTCCAAAGTATGGCGAAGGATCGGATAGTCTCCCTCTGGCGTCGGTAGGTGCTTCAGAGCTCGGTCATGGGCAGACGGTGTCGCCAAGTACACGAGCAGCACCGCCACGCAGGACAGAGCGACCGAAGCAGGTGTCACCCACGTCGTCATAGCCTCGAGCTTCATCTTGGCCCCGTCCCGGTGGTCACGAAATGACAAAAAGAAAATGACAGGTGGGTAAAATGATTTTAGAGTAAGGTTGCGCTGGATGTTACGTTTTTAACATCCAGTCACGCTGTCCACGACAAAAATCCCTGTGAAAGGGTGGAGACTTTGATAAACACGTCATAAACGTCCTCCATGGCTTTTGGGAAGCTCAGAACGACAGTTGGAGGATGGCAAGGCACAAGAACGCGCCATGGCATGCTCTCGACATTGCTCCGAGATCCAGTCGTAGATACTGGTCTGTTGTTTGATAATCAGCCCAACGTATTCTTGATCACCGGCAGCGTGCTTGGGGCACCCAATGGAAGGCGCCGCGTCTTGATCGGTTGGAAACGTGAGATAGACCACCGCAGCAGCCACGAGCGACGCTGTGATAACAAAAGGCAGTATCAAAAGAGTTCTAAATTATACGCGGCAAGACGAAGAATAAGGAGAGGAAGTGTCCGTCATTGATACACGAACGAAGGGCACTAGGTGCGTACTGCATTTTCGAAGCTTCGACCTAACGGTGCAGCTTACATGCTGCAATTTAACACTGAAGAGTCTTTGGTGTTAAACTGCAACATTGAAA